TAATTTTGTATATACTGTACATGTACATGCACAATTGTAGACATGTACCATAATGGTAAATTGGTAGCTTTGGTGCCAAATTGGTGTGATAAATATTTGGAAAATCTTGTTGTCACATTTGTAGCAAGAGTAGATAATTAGTTACCTGTAGCTACTTTTATTCCTAGTAATTGTTGATTTTTAAATGTGATAATGTGTTATAATAGCACTAGATGGTTGATTTAATTATGGCAAATAACAAATTCAATGAGTTTAAGCACCTCTAAAATTACCCATTTTATCATATTGAAGTTGATGCCAATTAAACCTATATTGATTCATTCTTTTTTTCCTCCCTATATTTCTCTTCTCTCTCTCTCTCTCTGTAGGTTGAAGACCTCATTCGTCAGTTAAGAGGACATTTAAAGACAGTCAAGACTGAAGGAGAATTGAAACCATTCCATTCATTCAATGACATCAGAGAGAGACTAAGACGACCATTGAAACAGCTTGACATAACTGCCTCCGACTTCCTCACTGTATTGAGATTCCTACACAAAGTAAGCAAAAACTATACTTAATTAAAACAATAATAATAATACTAATAATATTGATAAAAGATGTAAAAATACCATGTAAATTTATAAGGAATAAGTTTATATTTGAACACACTTTATATGCAAATTTTAATTTTTAAAATATTTTTTTAGAGAGGTGTAGTATTTTTACATGATTCTCCACGAGTAGATGACAAGAACTCACCAGTGGTAGCCATCAACCCACAGATAATCGGGTTCCTTCTTCAGCGTACCATCAGATCGGGTGAGATGCACGGGGAGGGTAGCATCCTTTCTGGATTCCTTCCCAACGTCCACCCGGCCATGATTTGGGGTGTCGACCCGGTCCTATTTGCCGATGATAATAACTCAGCCGGTATAACAGGTCTCCAATTGATAGATTTCCTCACTTCGGTTGATCTCTGTGCCCCCTTGGTCCCGGGGGCTGTCCTCATCCCCTCTTTATTGCCACGCCTACCTCCGGCCGAAACCCGTGTGAATCTAGAGGACCTGAG